TGGGATGCCTTTTTTGCTCATATCAGATTCAAAGTTCGTGATGGAAGTCACGTTCGTTTTTGGGAAGATCTTTGGTGTGGTGATCAACCATTATCTCATACATTTCCTAGATTATTCAGTATTGCAATTGATAAACCCGCCTACGTAGCTGATTGTTATCGGCTAAACAGTAGTGGGATTACGTGGGACGTGCACTTTCAGTGTTCTTTTCAAGATTGAGAGTTGGACGAGGTATGTGTTTTTCTGGATCATTTGTATCGGCAGAAGGGAATTGGCAGAGGTCATGATGATTTGACAAGGGGTCCCTCTTCCCACAGTCATTTTGAAGTAAAATCTTTGTTCTTATGTTTGTCTAATTTTGATAACTGTGACTTCCCATGGAAGACCATATAGCGATCCATGGCTCCAACTAGGGTAGCTTTCTTTGTCTGGACTGCTGTTTGGTGTAAGATTCCGACGATTGATAACCTGAGGAAAAGGGGTAATTGTTTTGTTAATTAGTGTTGCCTATGCAAGAAAGATGGGGAGTCAGTTGATCACCTCTTTATGTATTGCCCTGTGGCACACGACTGTTGGAATCTTATTCTTGGGTTGTTTGACATGCATTGGGTAATGCCATGATCTACTAAGGATTTGATTCATGTCTGAAGAGGATGTCGTGTGAGAAGGAATGTACACGATTTTTGGAGAATTATCCCACATTGTGTATAGTGGTGCATCTGGAAGGAGAGAAATAGTAGAATGTTCGAAGGGAATGAGTCGTCTACGGCAACGCTGAAACTTTACATTCTTCGTTCTCTTTTCAATTACGTGAAGAGGAGTTCTTGCTCCTCTTCTGATGATTTAATTATTTTCTTGGATTCTTTGGGGCATTGGCCCTAGTTCCACTTTTGTATAAGGGAAGTGTTCCCCTTTTGAATGCCTTTTTATTTTATTATTACTTATCCAAAAAAAAAATCCTTATGATTTGATTTCACCATTTAGCTTACTGCAAATACATGACTTACGAAACCTAGCCGCTGCCGCCATCGCCATCCCTAGCATCTCACATCTCGGAGGGTTTTCTTTGATTGGGTTGTTCCTCGCGTGTCGGGGTTCTCTGTTTCTCTTTGTGTTTCAAAGATGGGTTTGTTTTTGTTGGCATTTCTATGTGGGTGGGCGTCCACTCTCGCTTTCATTCGCCGCTCTCGCCGACGGGGATCCGGTGAGCCTCTTGTGGGCAACTCATGTGCTTTGACTGCTAGCTGGCTTCTTGGCCCATCTTTGTCGCTCTTTCCCTTTGATCCCGGTATTTTTCATATTTTTTTAGTTGCCTTTTATGTCCTAATCTTCTCTCTGTGGTGCTTTGTTTTCTCTCCGCGAATCAGCCGCCCCTTGCGTTTTTCTGTGGCCATCACTTTCACTCACTGGATGGGGTTTGGTGGTTCCCATCTTACTGAAGGCAGTATCCATGTGCCTGCGATCTATGTTTTTGTTCGTGCGTGGGGGTGGCTCTATCTGACTCCTGGTGTTTCCTTGTTTCCTATGGTTGGCATTTACGACCTTTTGCGCTGTTTCTTGATGGGGGTTTTTGCCATGAGACTGTAGGCCCCTTTGATGGTTTTTCATGGCTCTGCTTCCGCTGACTTGGGTAGTGGATCGGTTATGCTTCTGCTGTCTTGGGTTGATCTTCTTGATGCCGGCTTGCTGAAATTTTGGCCGATTTCTGGGCTTCCGTTTCTAGCGAGTCCTACAGTGTTGGGTCAATCGTGGAAGTCAACGTCCCATCTTGGGCTTGCTATGTGTGGCGCTGAAGTTACGGCACGTAGCTCCCAACAGTTTCTGGAGCATGTTTTCGCTGTTGTGTGGCTGTTGGTGCACCTTGGGTATTTGCCTAGCAAAGGCCACATCTTGTGTGATCTGGTGGGCCATGTATCCCTTAAAAATGGTCATGTTATTTTGTGTTCTGTGGTCCAGTTTTTTTAGTGTTGGTGGTTGTTACCAAATTTGTATCCGTGGATTGGTGATTGTGCCTTTCGCTTTGGTTGTCTTTTGTGGGAGGGTGATTGTGCCTTTTGCTTTGTTTGTCTTTTGTGGTCTGTTTCTTGTAGATGTCGTACGGCTTCTTGTTTTTACCAATGAAAAAAAATAAAAATAAAAAAATACATGACTTTTTTGTAGTCAAAATGCTTGATTATTAGCTGAAATATTTATACATGTGTCTGGTCATGATCTGAGTTGCTTATGATTTGATTTCACCATTTAGCATGTTGATAAACTGATGTATATTATCAAATTCATGGATTAAAAAAAAATTTGTTTAGATTCCCAAGAGTTGTAATTGAGGTGTCTTAAAATGTTTGGGTTGAACTGTGTGCTATTACTAAATTTTGGGACTAGGAGGGTGATGTTCTGGATGAAAGGGGTGAGCAATTAGGTATGAGCTAGACCTTAAACAAGCAGCGGTAGACCCTTTGACGGGTATTTAGAGTTGAAGTGGTAGTTTGATAAAAGGTCCAAATGAAGACTTGCCCTCTATCAATTCAATGTATCTCTAATAATGGTTTTGTAACTGAGATTTTCATAAGTTACTGTATTTTTTCAGATTCAATCATGTTGTGGTTGTTTCTTGTTAGGAATTTGGCAAGCTATTTGTCGTGTAAAATTAGATCATGTGCCTAAACCTCACGGAGGCACTTGTTGAAGGTTTTCTTACTGGGCATTTCAGGTGCCATCACACGGGAAAATAATTTGGAAAGGCTAGCAATGATCCTTGATCTAAATGTGCTGGATATACAGAATGATATTATTTTTGCTGATTTGGAGATGATAGCGTGAAAGAGAAAATTTTCATGAAAGTAATTTTCTTGTAAATCCTTAATTTTTCTTAAAATTTTTCTAACATATGGGAAATTTTACTTTTCTTGTGAAAGTGGTGCCTTCATATCTTAATTTCATATAAAACTATATACATTTAAATTAGTATTACATTATCTTATAAGCAATTTTAAAAAGAAGGAAACTCATTTGTTAGAGAAGTTTATGGAGAAAGTGAAGGAGTTTCTTGTTAGAGAAATTTCTGATAATAAATTTTTATTGTATTTTTTTCCTTCCATAATTAATAATGATTGAGAGTGATATATATATATAAATCTGAGTATTTAGTAACAGAGTGTTGGGTGAAAAACTAGGTTGGTGTCTCTGTGTATACAAGTTTTGAAATTATAATTTAATTAATACATATATTTTTTTTATACATAAACTTCTTGTGACTTTAGGACTCAAGGTACATTAGATGTAACAAACTCATATATAGTTTTAACTCATATTAGATGTGCCAAATTAATTTAGTTTGAAGTACTTTATTTCGATTAGACTGAACTTTTTTTTTTTTTGTTTTTAATTTATGACTAAAAGTATATATATTAACTTCAACCTTTTATCCTTAAGATTTTTCGGATCAAAATTTTTTATTAATTAAACTTGCACCTATATCACATATATCTAATTATTAAACATTAGAAGATAAATACTATAGTGTTCATTGTTTCACCTTTGAATTTAAAATTTTAATTTTGTTTATAATTCAAGAAATATGATAGTGTCGCAAAAGAGTACAAAATAATCTTATAATTAAGGACTCGTTTGGCATAACTTTTGCTTCTGCTTTTACGCAGAAGAAAAAGAGAAGCATAATCTATTACTTTTATTTAACTTATTTGTTAGTGTTTGAAAATTGTATTTTAGAATAACTTATAATGCTAGAAGAGTTTTTCAACCTGTTTGGCAAAACATTTAAGCTTCTACTATTAAAAGAATTATTTTGCCCTTAGATAGAGTATTTTTTTAAATTATCATTTAATCTATATTTTTGTAACTCTTTCTCTAAACACATACAAATAAACCACTTTGTATAGTTTTTGGAACTATAATTACTTTTTTTTTTCACTTTTATTCTTTCTAGACTCACAAAAAATTTCTTGCTAACTAAATACATGATAAAAATTTGAATTTTTATTTTTATTTTTTACTCTCCTTTCACTTTCACTTTTTATAAAAAAAAGTTGTATCTAATCAAGCGGACGCCTAGGCTTTACTTGAATTGCGACTAGGCTTTGCTTGAATTGCAACTATGAAAATAATTTTTTAAGAACAGTAATGATTGTAATGCTCTGTTTGTCTTGGTAATGATGCTATTTTGCTTAGGACTTTTAGGTGGAATATTTTGGATGCTATGGATCGAAGTTGTTGTTTGGATTGACATGCTTTGGATATTATTTGTTTTAGCTTTGTTATAAATTTATAAATAAATAAAAAAAAATCAAAAATCCCATATGGCAGCTTCAATGAATATTCTTTTGACACTTGCTCTTTTGAAAATTGTGCAATGGAAATCAGTGTTTTGTTAAGGTTCTTTGCTAATCAATATTTGGACCAAGGTTCGCAGAACCGATCTTTTTTTGAGTACCACGTATAGCCCAAACCGGCCCACTTCCAGAATTGGAAAATAATGAAGTTCAAACCGTAATGCGGAATCACAGTTACTTTGTATTTTTGTTTTAATTCAAAGCAAAAATCATATTTATGCTTTAGAGTCACAGTTACTTTGTATTTTTGTTTTAATTCGAAGCAAAAATCATGTTTATGCTTTAGAGTGTGTTCAACACTATTTCAAAACTTATTTGATAACGTAAATTTGTTACAAAATTGTTAAAAGCAAAAACATAATCGCATGTTTGTTAAAAAATATTGCAAGTTTAAAAATTTGAATGGCTTAATTAAAAATGTTAATTTAGAAATAAAATATAAATCTATATATATACATATATATATTTTGAACAGTACTTTGCTACGGTGCGGAAGCAACCAAAAACATCATTTTGATGATTTTGATTTTGACCTCAATTTTGGAAATGCTTCGATACTATTCAAATGACAACAACGTTACCAAACATACTTCGTGCAAAAGCAAAAAACACGAAACAAAAGCATCAGCCAAAACATGTCAGCGAGAACCATCATTCACTATAACAAAGCCATGAATTATGCATTCCGGAATCATCTAACAATGACTATATTACCTGGTTGAAGTTTTAAAAAACGAAAATGATAAACCAAAAAATAAAGAAACAATATTGGGTTCAACTGGATTATAAACCAAAAGAGCTAAGAGATTATTACAAGAATTGCTACAAACCAAACAATTCTACAGCTTGACGAGATAAAGAAAACCCCACAACCAAAAATCAATCCCCCACACTCCTTGATACATTTTCCTTTAGGTGTATAAGAATTAATTTTTTTCCTTAGATATTTAAAGTAAAAGATGAAAAGGAAAGAAAAGAGCTCCTAACAGAAGGCCAAAATTTTCTATCTCTGACTCTACACTACAGTTTTCATAATTTGAAATATTGAATGAAGACTGCATAAGATTTACCCACAATTGAGAAGTATCACATTTCAACTTGTGACACAATCTTGAAGATATGGGTGACTCTGATTCACGTACTGTTCCCATAGAGGTTTATACCTGCCAATAGCCAACTTCAGCCATGGCTTCATGTTCCCATTGAAGTGGATGACTGCTGCACTCTCAATCAGACGGTTGTCAATATTCAGGTTATAACCCAGTCCTAACACATGCCATCTTCGATCAAGTGGCTCTGTCAGTCCATAGAAAGCTAAGAGACCCGGGGGAAGTGTGCCCAGCTTCCAGAGTGACCTATCAACATTCTGCTCCTGCCAATAATGATACCGCGCAGTCACATTTGCATTCCTCCATGCAATCAAATCAAACACATTCATACCAAACGCCCAACCACAAGTCTGTGGGTCAAACTTCGAACTAATGATTGGATTTGAGAAGTTGAGATACTTGTAATAACGATGAAATGCTTCCAGGCAAGTTTCCACTGCTCCATTCACATTTCCATGTAAATCCAACGAGAAGAGAGATGTGAGATCTTTCTGAACCACGACATCATCATCAAGAAAAACTACCTTCTCCAGCTGGGGATAGATCTCTGGGATGTAAAACCGAAGGTGATTCAACAGAGATAGGTACTTAGGATTCCGAAACTTTGGCTCAATTTTCAAATCTTCAGGCCCTTGAAAATAGTATGCTCGTGAATCTGTCTCAAGTAGCTGTTTCACAACAGGAGAGTAAGAACCATTCAACCAAGTGAAATCCTCAATGTTCTGCACTTCTATTGTGGCCCCTTTGAAGTCATTAGCTAGGAACCAAGCCTGCATTGCCCCATAGTTGACTCCATTTGTCACAATGTGGAAAACAAGTTGCTTGGGATGGTCTGCATTGCAGACAGTAGAGTTGATGACAACTGAAACAGCCAGCAGATTATCTGAAAATATGCAGTAGTGATACAGATTGTTGTCTGCAAGTCGGGGAGAGTTCCTTTTTTCATCTGCGGACTCTTGTAGGGACTTTGTATTAAGCCAATCAGCCATGAGTTTAACAATTAGGCAATGGAGATTCTTAGGTAATGCTTCAGCAACCAATTGTGCAAACACGGTACTTTGAACTGCTGCTGCACCAGCACGCTCTTCAAGGGCTTGAATATGGGATTTCATTGTCATTATTGTGGTTGCAATGTCATAATGGACTTCTTGTGCCTTAAAGATTAGAGACGAGAGGCTTTTAATGATTGGTTCTGCTTCATCGAGTGTGATGGGCTCTTCCTTCATGGCAGCTTTTGAGAGCAAAAATTGGCAAGTTCTGATCTTTGAACTAAGCTCCCAAGCAAGATGAAGGTTATTGTGCTCTTTTGCAATAATGACATAAGCCTTTGCAAGTGTCATTTGTTCCGCCAATTGCCTGGCATATGAATTAGCACTTAATACTTCTTCAGTAAAATTTAAATGCTCATGGGCAATGTGTTCATTTCCAGCACTTTTCTCCTGGCAAAGGGAAGAAATCACATGATGGGTTAGCCCTCAAACATTTAATTAAAAAACCACAAGCAATGAAACAACTCATTAGGTAAGAACAGCATGTAAAGCAATAAAATTGAATGGGCCTACAGAAAAACTTATTAGGGAATTGAAATGTAACAAATAAAAAAAAGCCATATATGCTACATCTCACCCAAAAAAAAAAAAAAAAAAGGATATCAATACAGCCATGTTGCATTGATCAATATATTTGATTCTATCATTACCGGTCAGCAAACTAGTGTAGATTACTTTGACAGATCTAGATTTATGACAGTGGAGGAGTGAACAAGCTTACCAGATATGACTTTGATATCTCTATAAGCAAAGTCATGATAGCTACAGGGACAGAGCCAGGATTTACTGTCAGGGGGCACTATGTAATACTTTACAAATTAGATGCCTATATATATATATATATAAATTAATGGGCCAGCCTAGGCAAGGGGGACTTTTTAGAACAAAAAATCATTTGAGGGGGGCACCGTCCCTGGATAGATAGAACTTGACATAATGTACTTCGTCACCTCTTCCAACTTAAAATAAAGATAACTGGGACAGATATTCATCCTGTTTATTACAACAATTTTCTAATTATTACTAGCAGATTACCAGCCATAATTTTATCATATAAACTAGTGTGGAACTGACACTTGTTCTTCGGAGCTCAAATTTTTGCATCTAGTGAAGCATGAAACACCATGTGATAGGCAATAATGTATTAAGACTGCGAATTCCTGCAAATTAGCCCCATTACTAAACTGCAGAACATCTTTTAACATTTTATTAAAGGTCCGTCCAATTAACCCACCTCGGCATTTTTAACTATAACTTGATCAAGACAAGCAAAGTATTTGATGGAACAGAAAAATGATCACATGATTGCCAGCACCTCCTCCCACTGCCACCATCACCAACTCCTTGTTAGTGTCTCCCCTCCACTTCCGCACACTGCTAACACTACCCATCACCTCCACTTTCTATTTGTGCCACCCAAGCCTCCACCAACCTCCTCCGTCCGTGAATGAAGAGACTGATGAGATTGCGAGGCCAAGAGACCATGAGCCAACTACCTTTCAAACCTATGGTCACCACCACCTAATCCAATTATTTCCCAATTCAGATCCCCAAACCTGAATCCACCACTATCACCATCGAAGATGCCAGTGGAAGCAAAGACACAATTGGTTGTGCAGTGCAAGTGGACCGAATCTTGTAAAACTCAATTAAACAGATACTTAAGCATCCATGAGGGAGAGAGGAATGACTTAATATCACCGTTGGTGATAGACCTTAACCAACAAGTCAACCTCGAGGCGGGTGATTTTGAGTTCTTTATGTGGGGATTCTTTTTGTTTAATTTCTATTTTCCCATCAGATGAGGCTTTGAGAGTTCCGAACAAAAGGGAATGGCGCTTCGAAAGTACTATGGTTTTATTTAGGTTAATAGGACTTATGTAGGCAAATTTCGTAGATCGAAACCTTTGTTACATGGACTCGGGTATGTGTGTTGGGTATGGGTATGTATCCACGCGTTGGACATGTCAAATTCCGCAAAAGGACACATTGACACTGCTAACATAGATCAAAACTCGAGTCTTTACTTCTGTTTAATTTCTAGATAGTTTAGAAATTGGTTATGAGTTAGTTACCTGTTAAGATTGAAGATGGAATACATGATGCATCAAAGGGTAAATTGGTATTCTTCAGCCACAAAGTATAAAAGGGTCATTTGACACATAGATGTTCTCCCACAAATTAGGGTTCATGCATTGCGTATCTAGGGTTTTTTATCAATTGTTTTCTAGGTATAAATCTGCAGAAAGGTTGGATTGATCAAGGGCTTCTAGACTGTTGTTTCATCGACATCCAATTCGATCAATTGAGTTGTTCAGAACAACAATTTCTTGTTTGGTTTTAAGCATACCAAAAACCTAAAACCTAGGGCCTGTTTTAGTTCAATTTCTAAAATAGTTCTCAAGAACTCAAAAAACAGATAACTATTTTAAGAGAATTATAAATGACTTCTTCTATGAAAGCAGACCTTTTTTTTTTAACTGAATTTCAAAAATCTGTTTTTAGAACTGTAAACCAATGTAATTTTTAGAATTTTTTTTATTTTTATATTTATTTTTTATTTTTTATTTTTTATTTTTTATAATTTAAATAGAAAACTGTTCTAAAAAAAACTAAACCAAACAGCCTCCTATTTTCTCTTAACCTCTAGGCATGGGAAAATCTAAAAATACAGAAGAGACATCCAAGATACGACTCTCATACACATCTAATATATATATTTTTGAGAGATCTTTGTGAGGTTTTTGCATGTGAATCTTTCTTTTACATTCATCATATACATTGGCTTTGGTACATGTATTTATATGTGTGGACATTGTTTTTGCGTACTCCCGAAGTATTTCAACATAAAAGTTCAATCACTAACAACCAGATTGACAAATGGACGACTAGTGGCTATTGGCTAAGATTGAATTCACCAAAGAAGCAGAACCGTGAGGAGTGGTTGCTCTTGATGTATGGACAAATGGCTGTAAGAATTTCAGGGAAAGGTTTGGCGTTCATTTGTGTCAAGGAGCTAACTAAGGTGTAAGCTTCCTTTCTCATAGTGAATTTGATTTGCTTGAACTATCTCATGGATTTTTCCTTTCTAAGAGATTTCCTTGTAAAAATCCAGTGTCCATTACTTGTTTCTTTACTGCTTTAAATTGTTTGAATTGCATGATTTTTACACCCTGCTACTATATTTTTATTTGCGAATATTGGTAATCAGCTTTGATTTAAAAATCAGTTTGAATTGTTCTATAAGACCTATTCACCCCCCAGGTTTACATCAGTGGGCCATGCACAATTCAATATCAAAGCCTCGGGTTCTGGTCCTTAGTTTTTTGCACTATCGTGATTAATGGTTGTGTGTGAAATCATTGCAAAGTAGAAAGAAAGGGTAGGGGTGAACATAATTTGCCATTTTGTAATTGTTGCTTATCCTCCATTTGCAAATTAAGCAACCTCAACTTCCGTTATGTGTATGTATACATACATATACAATCAACTTAAATGGATCTATAATATACATATGTTTGTGTGTGTATATATATATATACACACACACCTTTGTGTGTATAAATTTATTAATCCAAAAACTAACAGGAGGAGAAAGACATTGAACTATAAGAATTTTGAAAAATATTTCAAGAAATGAATCGAAATGGGGCATTTAAGTAGCAACAAAGTCATTAGAGGTGGTTGGCGGTGTAATCGTGTAATAAACAACCCATTGTTGATAAAAAAATCAATTGAAAAACAAATCTTCCAGTCATAAAATTAAGATTTTGATTCTATAACTTTTTAATTTAGATTTTATTTAAATGTAAATAAATGCTTTCGCATGACGTGTTCATGTGTTACATTATTATATTATATGAATATACTTGCGAAAGCAGCCCTTTTTTTTTCTTTTCTTTTTTCCCCACGCAACCAGTTCCAGCACTGCACCACTTCGACAGTAAGGTGTACAATGTATCCCACTATCAATACAATTTATTATGCAACGTCTATTTTCAGTTGCAGTAATGTAAAAAAAAAAAAAAAGAATTCACCCACTATGGGCAATGACACTTTCGAAAATAAAAGGACATCAATTTTGATACTATATCTTATGTATATATATCATCCTACTTGTTTTAGGAGTCTGTTTTGGTCCCCCACTTTCAAGAATCTATCATAATTGAGATACCCCTGCTCTGGACAATGATGGTCCCTCACTTTCAAGAATCTATCATAATTGAGATACCCCTGCTCTGGACAATGATGATTCTTATTAACTAAAACAGCTCAAGGACATTTTTTCCTCTCATTGAATAAGTAATTTTTTTTTGTAACAGAACAGCATTCAACCAGGGATAACATGGTTGTAATACCCTGGTGATTCTTAATTTGCATTCATATTTAACTAAGTGACTCAATAGGTTTCTCCTTTTTGCTTGACAAGAAATAAAAGCTATACTGAAAAAGAGGAGCAATCTCCAAGGGAAAGCATATCCTTGACATGTGGTGGAAGGATTCTTTATCTCATTATTTGTTAGGGGAACTTCTTTCATGATATTGTCCACATTTCAGATTCCTATTTTCATTTTGGTGGTTTGTCTGGAATGACGTACTCTTGAATGAATCCTCCCTCGCTATAATTATGAAAAACAGAACTCATTCATTGTAAAAATAGACCTAGAGTGCCGTGCTGGGCCGATAGGCAGACCACACTCATGCATTAGAGAAGTACATAAGTCCGCTTAAATTTAATTGGAGAATGAATAACAATATACACCAAAGACAACCTGAAGACAACAAGAAAGATAAAGGCTTCTACAATGAATGCTACCTTCCTAGATAGGAAATCAAGCGAGCTTAAATAGTTAAGGGCCAAAAAGCGAGCTTCAATCTCATTAGTGATTTAACTATACGTCCAAGCTCCTCCAGAGATGGCACTCCCTTGCTGAATCACATCCATTAATCCTCATTCAGTTATGATAGCTCGATATCTTCAGAACGTCTTCCACTCTTCCCTAAATTCCAAAACCAACTCAAGACAAACTTGCTAGAATGACCAAATAAATTGCTCCAAATGGTGCAAAGAATATGTCACCTTTGTGATGTCTACACAATCTTCCAATGCTCACTAGTGTAGTTAAGGTTCCCTTGCTTTAGAAGCAGCCTTGTTGCTTACTTCCCTGTGTAAGCAGGCAGTGATTTTTGGCCATTTTCAATGGTCGCTTAATGATGTCCATATAGTTAACTTGGCCATTAGGGGCACAAGGCAGTCATGATTCCTATTCCCTCTTGTGCATACAACCTCCTCTTGTAGCCACTTTTGGTGAAGTAACCACTAAGAGAAAACGAGAATACTCATAAGTATATTCTAACTATTGTAAATAAGTTGGTGCTAAAGATTCATA